AAGACCCTAGCCTGAATCAAGCAAACCTTAGTCCTCAATAATTAGTCCACTGCTCCTCAATAATTTGCACAGGTCCCTGACTGCATACTTTTCCAGTGCTATGCATCTCTTGATCTCCTGACTACTCGTACCAAGTATATTAAATGTGGATCTAAGTATACTTAGCCCAGGAGGCAGTCATCAGAGCAGAGCAAGGAAACACTACGTGGTTCATAATTGGGAAGGGTATATGTGTTAAGGAAGTGTTCTATCTCCATATATTTTCAATCTATATGCAGAACAGATTATCCAGGAGGCTGGGCTCTATGAGGAGAAAGGTGACATCAGGATTGGAGGCAGACTCAACAATCTGCGTATGCAGGTGACACAATGCTGCTTGCTGAAACTGAGGAGGACCTGAAGTGCTTGCTGAAGAAGGTCAAGGACTGCAGCCTTCAATATGGATTGAAGTTCAACATCAAAGATTCTCACCACTGGGCTGATTGGCAGCATCATGATAGATGATGAAGAGATTGAGATTGTTGACAGCTTCAGTTTGCTTGGCTCTACAATCAACACTCCTGGGACCAGCAGCCAAGAAATTAAAAGGTGAATTGCATTGGGAAAGTCTGCTGTCAGCGTACTGCCAGTACTGCCAGTACTCTCCAATGTACTGAAGTGCAACGATGTCAGTCTGGAGACTAAGGTGCACTTGATACAGGCTGTGGTCTTTGCAATTATTTTCTATGCATCAGAGAGCTGGACAATGACAAGGGATGACAGAAGGAGAGTTGATGCCTTTGAGCTTTGGTCTTGGAGAAGGGTATTGAATATACCATGGACTGCTAGGAGAACAAACATGTTCATCCTGGAGAGGGTGAAGCCAGGCTGCTCTTTGGAGGCAAGGATTCTGAAGCCCCATTTGACATACTTTGGACATGTTGCAAGGAGGGATCAGTCCTTGAGACGGATGTCATGCTCTGGAGGGTGGAGGGACCGTGAAGGAGAGGAAGACCCTCAATGAGATGGATTGATTCACTCACTGGGGGAATGGGGATAGGCATGTCGGAGACAATAAGATTGTCAAGGGATAGAACAGGATTTAGGGCTGTTGTACATAGGGTCACTATGGGTCGCAGGCAACTTGACGGCACATAACAACAAAAAAATAGGGAGCTCTGCTTGCCAGTAGCCTCTTGATCTAGGTATAGGTCTCTCCCAAGCACAAGTATGTGTTCTAGGATTCCCATTGTTTTCAATGTTATCCATAATTTATTATGATCCACCCAGTCAAAAGTCTCTGCATATTCCATAAGGCACAAATAAACATTTTTCTGATAATTGCTTTCAGCCAGGATCCATCTGATGTAAGCCTCGGTGCCATGGCCTCTTCTAAAACCAGCTTGAACTTCTGGCAGTTGTGCCAACATAGCAGGGGAACACTACATGGCTTAACATTAAAAAAGGTGTGCATATAAAAGAAAATAAAGCCTAAATTTTTTTTTTTAAAAAGGTGTGCATTCAGGTACAGCAGTTCTGAAGCCTGCCCTGTCCTGAGCCAGTTTTACTAATTCTGTCTCACCCACCCCCATTGCCCCAGTTACTATATTTATCCATCTCATACGGGGTCTTCCTCTCCTGCACTGTCCCTCCACTTTTCCAAGCGTGATGTCCTTCTTCAATGACCAGTCTCCTGACCATGTACCCAAAGTATGTGAGACGGAACTTCAAAATTCTAGCCTCCAAGGAGAAACCTGGTTTCACACTCTCCAAGACCTATTTATTTTCTTGGCAGTCTATGGAATATTCAAGGATTTCTTCAGCACCACAACTCGAAAGCATCTATTCTTCTGTCATCCTTAGTCATTGTCCATCTCTCTGAAACATAACAAGTAATTGTGAAGACCATGTTCTGGATTAGGCACACCTTACTCTCTACATGGTATTTAATGGCTATTACCGGAAAATGCAGAGCAAGCCCACACTTTCATATTATCCTTTGTCACTGGGCTCTGCCGTGTCCATGGCACAGACTGACACATTGCGCTAGAATCTCCACATATTTGGTGTTAGAGAGTTGTGACTACACAGTCATCAGCATTATCCTAGACACCCTTGTTCTCCTCAGGTTTCCTTCTGTGACTACTGGCTTAGTAAGTCACGGCTAGAATGCCAGTTCTACAAGTTCCTTATTCCAGAGAGTTTGCTATCACATTTTCCAATCTTCTGAAAAGTCCAGCTACTAAAATAACCACATTTTCCGAAACATTTTGCCAGTTATCCCACTGGGTAATTCTTACCCAGAAGAGCTGCCTACCATAATGTCTGTGCAGATTGAAACCCATTTAGTTTTCTCTCCTCTATTGTCATTTTACCAAACTAATGTTACTTGTATTTATTTTTCCATTCTAAGAAAAAAAGATCTCTAAAATAGAAATTCGGTAGCTTGACGTGTATTTAACAGGGTTCCCTCTCGCTTTAAATAATACATCAGTGGTTTTTAACCTGAAAGGGATCATGATGGATTATAGGAAATCTTCTCTGGAATATAGTTCTCCCCATCCGCTCTCTTCCCTGATGCCACAGTATGTTCTTCAAGTTTTGCAATACCTCACAGTTAATTTTAAAATGCTACCTTTCCCACATCTCCCTAACCAACCAACCCAAAAAACAAATAAGAAAAACTCATTTTTGCAAAGTCATTTCTGAATTATGGCCATTCCATGTGTAACAGAACTGAGCCATAGAGATTTTTTTGCCTACAACATCTCAGAGGCAATTTCCAGGTCTTTCTTCTGCAGAACATAGCACAGTGTACCGCCACAAGGGATCTCCTCACAACTCCAGTTGAAGACCAATGAGATAAATCTTGATCTTGGATTGTTGCTGTTATTGTTAGGTGCTGTCAAGTTGATTAAGACTCATAGTGATCCTACACCCAACTAATCTGAACCTTGGATTTCTGTTGTTAGGTGCCATCGAGTTGAATACAGCACATAGTGACCCTGTGAGCAAGAGACCTGAACCCTATTCAATTTCTTTTCAGAGTTTCTGCTGGTCTGAGTGGTAACCAAAGCCCCAAAGTGTGGGTCACAGAAGCACCTCTTCTGCTCTAGTATGTCAAGAGTGGAACACCCACCCTGGGTGAGTCTCTGCTGATCTTAGAGGAGGCTTGGCTAGTCTGCCTAGCTAGAGAACGTGTCTTTGCTAGTCCAGGGGATGGGTACAGGCAGAGCATCCATTCAGAAATGGCTCGTGTAAAGAGTCACTGCTGATCTGACACATCTACATGGGGCAGTGGAGTGTGCTGTGTAAGGGTGAATGCATCCTTAGTAAGAGAGAATTCTTCTTGGGTTGTTGTTGTTATGTGCCATTGACGTGCTTGCAACTCATAGCGACCCTATGTTTAACAGCCCTAAACTCTGTTTTGTCCTGTGCCAATCTCATTGTCTCCGGCACACTCATCCCGATTACCCCAGTCACTGAATCAATCCATCTCCTAGAGGGCCTTCCTCTCCTGTGCCTGCCCTCCACCCTCCCAAGCATGATGTCCTTCTCGAAGGACCGTTATGTCAGATGAAGCCTCAGAATCCTTGCCTCCAAGGAGCAGCCTGGTTTAACCCTCTCTAGGATGAATCTGTTTGTTTTCTTAGCAGTCTATGGTACCCTCAATATTCTTCTCCAACACCAAAGCTTAAAGGCATCAATTCTCCTATCCTCCCTAGTCATTGTCCAATTCTCTGACGCATAACAATTGATTGCAAAGACCATGGCCTGTATCAGATGCACCTTAGTCTCCAGAGAGACACTGTTGCTCTTCAGTACTTTAGAGGGGTCCCTAACAGCAGACTTTCCCTTCACAATACATCTTTTAATTTCCTGGCTGCTGGTGCCAAGAGTGCTAATTGTGGAGGCAAGCAAACTAAAGCTGTGAACAATTCAATCTCTTCACCATCCATCCTGATGCTGCCAATTGGTCCAGTGGTGAGAATCTTTGTTTTCTTGACATTGATCCTCAATCCATATTGAAGGCTGCAGTTCTTCTTGGGTACCAGTATTCATTTTAGGTAGTTGAAAGCTTATAAAAGGGTATATATATTCAATATATGCACCCACAGTTATTAAGAAAAGGAGGTTATTTCCTAATAAAGAAGTTCTTGTATCCTTTTGTTTGGACACATTGAATTTTCTTTGTACTAATAATATGTTCTTTCCTTCTCCTTTTCTTTACATCAAAGGTTGGCACACTTCTTTAAAAAGCCCTTGTTGTAGGTGCTATCAAGTGGAGTATGACTCATAGAGGCTCTATAAACAATAGATTTGAACTCTGTCCTCTCCTGAGCCATCCTCATCATTTCTGACATACTTGATCCCATTGCTAGAAAATGGGTATTTGTGACTTTCTGGGTTATTCAGTCTCTGCTACAACTACTCAGTTTGCTACTTTAGCATGAAAATAGCGATAGCTAGCACATAAACAAATATGGGTGGTTGTTTTCCAATAGCATTTTATTTACAAAAGCAGGCATTAGGCTAGATTTGGTCTGCCATAGGCCGTTGTTTGCTGGTATAACAGAAAGGCTAATAATGACTTCTTAATGATGGGCAACTCCAGGTAAGTTATGTGATTACATGGCTAAAGTAGACTCACATGTTCTGGAATGCTTTGATGACTTTCCGACTCTCTTCCTACTAAGCTGTGAGCATTATCTACTTTTAATCATTCCCCTGATGATCTTTCATCTGCTTCTAAAACGGCCCTGGAGAGTGTCCACATGTGATTCTGAATTAACTTACTCACATGGGTGGCATCTGAACTCCCTGCAGCTGTGGCTCATTCTTAAGACCTTGGGATTGCTTCCCCAACTTATACCTGAACTTTTATCTTAATAAAGCTAGACTTTTTCTTTTGAACTCTACACAATTACAGACTACCACAAGAGGTAAACAAGCCTATGCAGCTCTCTTTCACAGTGGCAAATTGGATGTTAGGGTGGGACAGCCCTTTAATGATCACTCACCTGGACACACACAGTTGCACCTGATACCCTGCTGGATGAAGTCTGCAGCCACAGACTTTGTGAGGCCAATCACCGCAGCCTTGGTTGTGCTGTACACACATCTGTTCACAACTCCTGAGGGTTAAGACAAGGCACAGCAATTGGAGGAATGAACAAAGTCTTTGGGAAGGGAATACAAATTTCTTCAAGAACCATATTCATGTTTCCTCCATCCCCTTTTGAAAGCCTAGTTTCTGAATCTGGGAAAATGGTATCAGTACTATTGTTATTGTTGATTGCCTTCGAGCCAAGCACGACTCATAGTGACCCTATGAACAAAAGGCCTGAAGCCCCTCTACAACTATTGACATTTATCAACGTTCATAGAGTTTTCAGAGGCATGTTGTTTAGGAACTGGATGCCACTCCTGCTTCTAACTGGCATAACTCAACTGAGACATGTGTGTCGACAGGTGTGTTGCTTGTAGATGTTATGGATTAAATTTCTAACTCATTGTGACCCAATGCAATAGAGTTCAACTGTCCTATAAGGTTTTCTTGGCTGTAACATTTTTGGAAGCAGATCTCAAGGACTTTCCCCCTAGAAATTTTGAATGGGTTCAAACTGCCAACCGCTGGAGAGCAACCAAGCACTTAATTGTTGCACCAATTGAGGTTCTGCCACTTATTTAAAGCAATAGTCTGCTTTTCATTATCAGTTTGGTATAACTCTTAAGTATACAAGTTCTCAACAAAAAAAACCCAAAACCAAACAACCCCCAACGGAAAAAAAAGGCAAAAAAGTGAAAGACCAGTGCTCTTGTTTTTATGCTTCTGACAATGTGCACTTAAATGCATGAGGAGGGATCTTGTATCAGTGGCAACTCTCACCACAAACTGGGTTCATCTGTGTTCAACTACAACATTAACTCCTTTTTGGTCTATCCTTCGAGCTCTTCTATTTGACATTTCATTTAGGGGCAAGATCAAGTCGTCTCTGTGAAGCATTTCTCAAACCCATAAGCAGAATTTTCCCTGTTGTACTCTTGACAGCATTTTGTAAAATCTTGCGCTGCAATACTATGATAGCATATAAGATGTTTTTATTTCTCTCTCGCCAGTGCATAGTAAATTCTTAGGGTCATGGCACATCCTGGGTGCTAAATACATTTTTTAAAAATTCATTAACCTGATAAATGCTTTCACTCTTAGTGTATTTTTCATTTCCATATGTAGTAGAAGGAAATGAGAAGGTAAAGAAAAAGCCATTACAATTTTTTTTTAGAAATAATGTATGTATATGAATGGTTTGCATCTAAAGCAAATGGCCTGATAACTAACAAACTCAATATAGATTTAAAAATAAAATAAGGGAGCTTTGAACTTATGTATGAGCTTTATGAGTCTGATATGGCCTTTCCCCAAATGTATGGTGCATAAAATTTATGTCACAAACATACACACACACGTTATATCACCCCAAATAAAGCAGGCTTACCTTTGATGCTGGAAGCCACAGAGGACATATTGATGATGTTGCCAGATTTCTGAGCAAGCATCTGCCAAAAGATATATGAAAAAATTACATTCTGCAGGATAAGTAATTTGTTGCTGTTGTTGTTCAGTGCTGTCAAGGTAATTTCAACTCACAGGAGCCCATGTTAGAGTATAACTCCCTCCTAGTGCTTTCCAGGCTGTAATCTTTATGGAAACATAGCATAAGGTCTTTCTCTTGTAGAGCTGGTGGGTGAGTTTGAGCCAACAACCTTTTGATTAGCATCTAAGTGATTAACGATTGCATCACAGGAGCTCCTGGTCAATGGAAGCTAAAGTTAGGCTTTTGGGTTTACCAGTGGCATAGTGCAAGCTAGTGACATACAGGATAGTAATTCGTGGTGTCAGTCCCAATCCCCCACATGGATTTCCTCTAGTAACAGAATCCTTAGTGATATTTGTTATAGATTTAAACCATAGAATAATATATGCTACATGTGGTTGTAAATTGCTTAAATGTAATATTTCTTAGATTATATAAATATAAACAACAATATTAGTTTCTAATTTCCACTCTATTGAGTTACACTATTAGCTACAGCGTCGCTTTGTTGTTGTTAAGTGTCTTCAAGTAGAGTATGACCCATAGCGACTCTATGAACAGACCTGAACGCTGTCCTATCCGGCGCCATCCTCACAATGTTTGGCATACTTAAGCCCACTGCTGTAGCCACTGTGTCAATCCACCTGGTTAATAGTATTTCTGTCCAGGGACGTGGGAATTGTATACTAATGAAGGAATTTTTTTTTTCTCTCTTCGGAGGAGGAAGCGAGCTGGTGGGGAGGGGTGGAAAGGGAGAAAATTGTGGCAATGAATGAATGGAAATCCAAAACCTATGTAAAAAAAAATTAAAAATTATAAAAAAAATAGTATTTCTGTCCTTCACCATCTCTCCACTTTTCCATTAGTAACTGAGTATAAGCCTTCTTTTTATTTTTTTTCTTCTTTTCATTAATTACTAGTTCATTCTCAAAAAAATTTATGTAAATTTACAAATACCAACTACCACGATATTGTAGCTAAAGCCACCAGAAAACGTGACAAAATCAGTCACTATATAAACATTGGCAGCAGTTTTTGCTCAAAAGTCTCCTCTGGGAACAAAAACTCTTAGAATAATACAGTGCCTCCTTTAGAGTCCTCATCAGCCCTAGATCCTGTCTCAAGTCCCTGCCAAGGGAAGCTTTGCAGAAAGAACAGAAAATAATGCATCCTGTTGCCAGCAGTAATCCAGCTTTCTGTGGGTCTGGCAAGTTCTCCTGCCATATAGCAGATGCCAAGAGAGGTGCTGATCAGTTTGACATATATTCCTCCCATTAAAGCAAAAACAGTCACGCAATCAGCCACACACCAAAAGCTTGTCAGAGGCTAGACCCACTATATGAAGCACACTTGCAGGTGACAAGTGGCAGGAGCCTAGAAATAAAAAATGAATTAGAGGCAAAGAAAAATCTTTGGTAGGCATGGGTGGCCTTCAGGAACCACCAAACCAGCAGGATACTGGACTGGCACAGGCCAACTCCTGGGAACTACTAAACCAGCTGAATTGAAGACAAGTCCAGGCAGACATGTGGGTATAACTAAAATTGAAGGATGCAAAGTCATCCCTGGGAGACCTCAAGGGAAGGTGTTCCAGTGATGCCTGACACACTGAGCTGGACTTTATGTTGCTCTTTACACTTTCTCTATTCTTTATTAAAACTGTTGGTCAGAAAATGATCTGTTGTTGTTGGGTGCCATATAATTGAGTATTACTCATTGTTGTTGTTATATGCCGTTGAGTTGCCTGTGACTCATAGTGACAATAGTTACAAAGTGCTGTATGTACAATAGTTCTGAACCCTGCCCTATCTGGAGCCAGTCTCACTGTCTTTGGCACACCTACCCCACTACCCCAACCCCATTACCCCAATTACTGGGTCATCCTTTCCTGTGCTGTCCCTCCACCCTCCCAAGCATGACGTCCCTCTCCAAGGACTGATCCTACCTTGCAACATGTCCAAACTATGTCAGAAGGAGTTTCAGAATCCTTGCCTCCAAGGAGCAGCCTGGCTTCACCCTCTCCAGGATGAACTTGTTTGTTCTCCTAGCAGTCCATGGTATATTCAATACTCTTCTCCAGCATCAAAGTTCAAAGGCATCAACTCTTCTTTTATCATCCCTAGTCATTGTCCAACTCTCTAATGCATAGCAAGTAACTGCAAAAACCATGGCCTGGGCCAGGCATACCTTAGTCTCCAGACTGATATAGTTGCTCTTTAATTCTTTTAAGAGGTCTCTGACAGCAGACTTTCACAACGCAATTTGTCTCTTAATTTCCTGGCTGCTGGTACCGAGTATTGACTATAGAGCCAAACAAACTGAAGCTTTCTACAATCTCAGTCTCTTCATCATCCATCATAATGCTGCCAATTGGCCCAGTGGTGAGAACCTTTGTTTTCTTGATGTTGAGCTTCAATCCATAACATAACAACAACAACAACATTGTCTTCTTCCTTTGACTTTGTAATGACTTTTTGCTTTCTTCGTGATGGTATCAAGAATATCATCCATAAAATGGATGAATTCAACCAGTGATTCTTTCACAGATGTAATCCATCTGGCCTCTATGTAGTCCATGTGTATAGTCACTGTTTCCATTATTTTATAAAAATTATTTTCAAGAAGAAATAATTGATTGTAAAAAATTCATTCTATCTCCAGCTTCATTTCTGCCACTAAGCTTGTATTATCCAATTATTATCTTTCTTCCTTGTTTCCAACTTTTGCATTCCATTCACCAATTATTTTTTAGGAATCTTAGTTGCATGTTGAATATATTTCAGACTGCAAAAAATTTGTAAAAATCTATTACCTCCTCTTTGGGTATGGTTGTTGGTGTATATATTTGAGTGACAGTAGTATTAACAGATCTTCTTTGTATGTGTGTGGATAATATTCTGTAAATGGAGCTAGAAATGGCCTTTTTGACTATGAATGCAACCCCATTTGCCCCCAGTTTTTCATTCCTGGTATAGTAGATCATATATGACTGACTGATTCAAGTGGCCCATGCCAACCTATCTTAGCTCACCAATGCCTAGTACCTCAATATTTATTCATTCCGTTTCTTTTTTTAACAATGCCCAATTTTCCCACATCCATACCTTGTTCCACATTTCAATTATCAGTAGCTATTTTCAGCTATTCCGCCTCATTTTTTTGTGTCTTCCAATGTGAGTGCCTAGCCTCTAGTGCAATATCTAATAGTCAAAGTGTTGTCTATTGTTCATAGGGTTTTCCAAGGTTTGCTGTTTCAGAAGTGGATAGCCAATCCTTATTCCTAGTTTGCCTTACTCTGGGAGCTCTGCTTTAGTACAGCATCTGACAGAAAAGCACTGTACCCAAAAGGGCATATGATAGACAAGGAAAGATATACATATCTAAGCAGCAACATGTGAAAATATTCCCTCAATATAAAAACTGAAAGACATTACCCTTAGATATAATGGTGCAGGTGGCAGGGATTCCTACATCAATGCTGAGGCACAAGGTCCAGAAGGCCTGAAGGTTGTCTGACATTGTGCTAGATGGACTAAAAGAGTGCAAATAAGGGCTGAGGTGCCAAGCATATCAAAGAAGATAGCAGGGGAGAAAAGAATATCTTACATAATTAAAGTGATCAAAATGAAATAGGATCCTCGAAAAATACAATAGTGTTTTAAACTAAGCCTTAAAATAACTCTTTCCTGTCCAATCTAACAAAAGGTATCACAGATTTTTAATTCACAAAGCATTCACCAAACTAAATTTAGTGTCTAATTATGGATCATGAGATCTGTATGATCTTCATTCTTACAGTGCAACAACCCCTCAGACAAAGCCTTAGAATATAGTTACCTACGAGATGCAAGTGATGCCTATTAACACTTGTAATCAGCATTCAACCCAGGCCCTCATTCATGTCACCTACCCAACACCCACTTAGTACCCGATGTCATGGTCTAACTCACTGGCTTCCCCAGCAACAGCCCTCTCAGGCAAGTACTATGTGCATTAGATGAGAATAATTCCTTAGAAACGCAGTGCTTAACCCTACCCCTAAGTGAAGTCTAGAGGGAGCTCTGTAACTATATGTAGTTATTCTTATTCTGACTTAACTTTTCTGTTCCCATTGACTTGGATCTCCAGTGACTCCAATGCCTACTCTTTATTAGATTACCATTCTACACTTGCTTGTTTATCCAACACATGTTTGTTGAGCATCTCTATGAACCAGGGACCCTACTAAGTGACCTTGTTGTTATGTGGTGTTGAGTCATCTGTGACCCACAGTGACCCTATATATTGAGCCAGTCTTACTGATTCTGACACACCTACCCCCATTGCCCCAGTTACTGTATCAATCCATCTCATCTGGGGTCTTCTTCTCCTCCGCTGTCGCTCTATCCTTCTGAGCATGATGCATGATGTCCTTCTCCAAGGTCCCTCCAGGTCATGTGTCCAAAGTGAGTGAAATGGAGCTTCAAAAAAATATGGAGCTTCAAAATCCTACCCTCCAAGGAGAAACTTGGCTTCACCCTCTACAAGACAGATCTATTTGTTTTCTTGGATGTCCATGATATGTTCAAGATTCTGCTCCAGCACCACAACTCAAAGGCATCAATAAATTCTTCTTCTGTCATCCTTAGTCATTGTCCAACTCTCTGATGCATAGCAAGTAACTGCAAAGGCCATAGCCTGGATCAGGTGCACCTTACTCTCTAGACTGACACCATTGCTTTTCGGTACTTTGGAGAGGTCTCAGCAGATTTTCCCAATGCAATTTGTCTTTTGATTTCCTGACTGTTGGTGTCAAGAGTGTTGATTGTGTTGCCAAGTAAGCTGTAATTGTTAACAACCTCAATCCCTTCTCTATCTATCATGGTGATGACAATTGCTCCAGTGGTGAAAATTTTTAACTTTTTTTTTTTTAGTGTAAAATAGTAAAGATAGATCTATTAGAAAGTTATATCCCAAAAGGGA